CGCTGGTCCTACGAGACCACGCGAGGCTGAGACGGGAAGCAGCGCGGCCCAGCCCCACCACCGGGGTAAACTTGACAAGGGCCAGTCTCATGGGACACCTGAGAGCCACTGACAGGATGTCACATCAAGCCACTTCCAAAAGGCAAGGTGACAAGAAACGAACTGTGGAAGTTTTACACATATCTGCTAACTTCTGCCTTTCTTGGAGGCTTGTTGATCATATTTTATAATGCAGGCTAAGTTGTGAATTTTAATTATTCATTGATATATTTAATTAAATAAACTTCTATAATGAAACTACATTTTAAAACGTTCAATTCAGGCTTGTCGGGTTAGCCACGTGCACCTCCGTGCTGAGTCACTCCTGGCTGCGGGCGCACGATCACCTGCGAAGCTGCTTAAAAACGGGTGTCCAGGCCCCACTCGCAGGTCTCTGCATCACAAGTTCTGGGACTGGGGTCAGCACAGCTGTGACTTTATTCAGTTCTACAAGCAAGTCTGACGTGCAGCAAGATTGAAACTGCTGTTTTAAGTTCACGAGCACTGACCTAGCAGTTTGGTAAGCTAACCTGGAGTTCACCAAAATCACTGTTTTTCCCCTAGATCCTGCTTACTGATTTGCTGGGCAACAAAGTGGAGTGGAGCCTGCAGACAACCGCTTCCCCGCCTCGGGTGCTTCTGCCTGGTCACCTTCCCAGCAGACTGGACCGGCCGGGCATGCGCAGACAGACGTCCTCCTTAGGGTCACTATGTCACTGATTATGCTTCAGGTCTTTAAAAATATAAACAACCCTCTGACACCAGCAGAAGTTACCTTAGATTCAAGGGCGCCGACAAGCCCCATCCCCACCCAGTCCACTATTCACTTCTATGTGAGTCACTTCAGTCACTCACCAATTCAGCACGCTGGGCTCTCCTTTAACCAATTCAACACTTCCCACTGGTGAAAGCTGTTCCTTTTTGGCAGACCACTCCCCACCCCGGGGGGCTCAGCCCTCTCACCTCCTGCCGAGGCAGTAAGGACCCAGCCCCTTCCCAGCTGTTAGGCTGGCTTCACTGCACCCCCAGGGCCTGCCCCTGCCTGGCTTTCTTCCCTTTGGGTCTGAATCTTCCCCTTTTACTGCAGCTTCTAAAGTACTCAGGCAATTACAGTGATTAATGAGTAATTAGGAGTAATATTTACAAAAATAAAATAAAAGCCAAAAAAAAATCTCAAAAGTAGCAATTTAAAATATTTAATTGTAGAGATAATCAAACTATGGTCTTCAAAAGAGACAAAATGTAATTCCTTCATGGCCTTTCTACATGTTGCAACCTGAAAAATTTTCAAGTATCTTTCTGGATCTGAGAACACTCAGCCAACCACGCCCACACCAGCATCACTCAAGGCTGCCAACCTGCCACCGTGAACGGGGGTGCACCCACTGGTGGCCCCATTTCCTCCATCTTTCACTAGGAGCTTTGCCACCATTTTCCCTAGCCACCTTCAAAATGCACTTTACTAGACAAGATTCCTGCTCCGGTACTCTGCTCCTTCAGAACCCAGTTGAGAACGGACAGCGATAAATGGTTAGAGCAAAAAGGAAGCAAGTTGAAGCCTTGTCTTTCCCTCCTCACTGCTCCGGGGCAGCATCCCCAGGCCAGGTCAGGCTGTGGGTGGCGGGGAACTCGCGGTATGTCCCAGCGGAAACTTAGTCTTTCCCAACCTCCAACTTTCTAATAAAAGGTCGTATTTTCAAGGTGTGAAGTTACAGAAATGAAACAAAAAAATCCCTGTGTCTTCAGTTAAGTAAGTTAATGCTGAAACCTGTGGGCCTCTACCTAGCTACTTGCTATGTGTTTAAATCAGTGCTCCAGCTAGAGAAATATTTGGGGGGAGGAGGTCTTTGAAAATTTAAGGTAAGAAATTGGAAAAAATTGATGACAAACACCTTGGGCTCTCCCTGTTAAGGTGAATGCTATCCCAGAAAGTTATGATGCAAGAACACCCTGGCTCTCCCACCGTGGTCTGCTGTGAACAGCTGAAATCGGGGACCTTGGCTGTACATAATGCCAGAGAAAGACACACACACAAACCGCTGGACCACTTACCGTACCGAGTCCATCCTCCACAAAAGGTAACGAATTCTTAAACACAGGGATACACAGGAAGGACTAGTGGAGGGGAAGCCCGGGCGGCACCCCTGGGACGGCCCAGCGGACGCAGTACTGCTGTGTATCATGAGGGACGACAGAGAATAAAATAAGCTCACTTCTCAGGGTTTCTTCTCTTGTTCTTTGTACTAAAAATTATATGATGCATGTTTTCAACCCAGGAAACAAGTCTAGGGAAGGAGATCTGTGGTTAAGAAAATGAGGGCCTCCACGCTGCTCTTCCCAACACCAAGTGCCTCCCAGCGTCGTGTCCTCAGCCACCCCAAGCAGGATTCCAGGGAACTGGAACGCAGTCTCAGCACACCAGAGTTGGTTCTTCCCCCAACCTTAATCTTACAATTTCAAATCTTTCTTAAACATGGCACTAAGACTAAGTTCTGTATCTGGAATGAACCGTCTGATCTACTAACTTTGGTCACCACTACAAAAATGGATATAAAAACGAGTACTGAATTTGTATTCTGAGAGCTAACAAAACCAAGGCCAAAGGAGAAACTGGGAAACTGGCCTAGAAGAAATTCAGCTTTTGCTGCTTCATCACTGTATGTGTTTCCTGATTACAGGACTTATTCTAACAATAAGTTTTAACAACACAGGACCTGGATGGAAGAGGGAACAATGGCAAACACAACAGTCGTCCTGCGGGCCTTCTAATTATTTGCACCCGTAATGATTTTTCACGTGTAATTCTAATGTTCATTAAAGAAAAATACGCCTAGGTTTTTTTGGAGTCCAATATCATACAAAATGTGCCACTTAATCTAAGTAATTAAAATGCTCATGCCCTAAGAAAAATCTAAAGGAAGTTTTCCTTTCATATGTGCGGGAAGTGTAACTTTGCGTAGCCAACTTGAACTTCACAGAATCACATTTAACTTTTATTTTTAAGGTATAAGTTTTTTGCCTTCTGAAAGCCACCTTAATATATACTTACTCAGGTTAATTCATAAAAAAGAGGAGACTTTAGGTTAGGATTAGTTCACTGTGGCAGGAATTCTAGACTTTATACAAGAAGTCCCTGACAGGCCCCCACACAAGGATCCAGGGAAAGAGGAACAATAGCACTTGTATTTCCTCTCGCTTCCAAGCAGGTCAAGGCCCAGAGAAAACCATCCAACTCTCACATTCGTCCTGAACACCAAGAGCTATCCGCACTTAGAATCAGAGAGGAACTGTGAATATGGTAATCGTTCACATAAAGAATCAATTTTAAAAAGTAAAACATGGTCTGTTTCACCTCCAATTTTCACTTCCCAAGATTTCTGAGTCTGTGTCGATTAACTACAATTTTCCTTTTTATACATTTGACTGAACTTGCACTCAGTATACCTACCAGACCATACCTGGACCAGGTTGATTGCATAGGAAGATTTTTACTATGTTTACATTTTTCTTAAATTAATTTTAAAAAAGCATAGTAAAGAGTCTGAGGACAAATTATTCAACTGTTTATCATACATAAGACCGCATGACTATAATACAAAGGGGGGTTCTTTTTCATTTAACGTTACAATATACACAGCAAGTCCGGACCAGATCTTACAATCTGCACACAGGTATTTAACCTTTTCCATGCTGTTTATGTTTACAATGCACAGAAGTCCTGTAACCAAACCGTGTAGTAAAGCACACAAAACTGGACTGTAACATAACACAGTATGCAGAAGCATTGGATTTTATGACTTCCTTTATGTAAATAGCGGTTTAAAACTGCTTTCGGGTTTTTTTTTTTTTTTTTTTTGGTGCTTGCTAAGATGTGGCAACCAGCACAGAAAAAAATGACCTGACCCATGTATCTTCCTTCACCTCAATTCCTCAACAGCAGTAACTACTGAATCCCTTTCGATATTGCTGGACTCAAGATGGTATCCTTTTATTCACTGTAAACTTTCATGAACTACCAAGTTCAAGAATCATCCACAGGCCTGACATTTAATTACAAAATAAATATGGATTTCCTGATTAACAACAAAAAATTTTTTGTGGTTTATAAAAACGGATATTCCCAAATTTCCATTCACATTCACATAGTTTTAAGCCTTTCTTTTGTCACTGTTTACATATAAAAACCTGCTTTTGTTCAGAAAAAACTGACCTAGTCAGCCACATGGAATTGACCAATAAAAAGTAACGTGGTGTTCTGCTGAGTTGTTTTGAACAGGGTTATCGGCAGAGGTAGATTACTGCTTCTTTTCTAGGCTTCTTTGATCCTGGACAGGTAAATTCCTTATCTTCATTCTCCCAATTCAACCGCTCAAAAGTATAACACCGTAAAATTGGTCAATTTGAAATGGGAACACAAATTTAGCAACTGCCGGACTGTGTTACATTAAGGCAGCATAATCTCAAAACTAGGCACCTGTTAAACACCAGCCTGTTCACTTCAGGTCGCACGTGAGAGTTCTGCTTTACTCGTGCTCGTATTTTGGACCTGTTGGTGCAATCAAGGTCTCGCGTTCAAGTTTACAAGTAGGTTAATCAGGAATACAAGAATCAACTGCTGGTTCCATAGCTTCTGGATCCAGTGTCCCTTTACCTTCAGAAGCCTGAACACATTTAGGATGTAACAGATGTTGTAATCTTGAATTAGATGTCAATCTATTATGTTCAGTACACAGATTGCTGTAAATGTATTGGCTATGGATTCAACAACAGTTCCAGTTTTGTTTAAGCAATAGTACAGCCATAATTTTTCAACTGACATTTAAAAATGGTCTAGTTACACCTTGTGTCAAAGTGCAGAACTGCTACATTATTGGTTACAGACATCTATGTGCTATAAAAACAGCTTTGGTACAATAAATTATCAAAAAAGAAAATAAATTTTTGTAAAATTCACAGCATAATTGTGAGGCAAAAAAGCAGTCACATAAAATTCTGCATTTTTTAAAAATGTTCAGGATGAACAGAAGACATCTTTGTGCAGAAGAAATGGTGGAGATACCACGTGCCGAGAAAAAGCAAAAGAAAAAGTAAAAAGCAGGAAGGGACACAGCTGTAGCTATTTCCATCAAAGCAAACCACTACTTCTGTGACCTTCAACCAATAAGGAAGTCAACTTTATGACACACGCAAAGTGACCTTGCAATACCTTACAATTAGTGGGTCACAAAAGTCTATTTTAAAAGAAAGGCCTCTTGAATTACCCATTCTCTGTGTTTTCAGCATTAAGGACTGTCTGCAAAAGCATGTCCCAAAGTGATTGCATCTGAAATGGTAGGCTCTTCTAATTTCGAGTCCAAATCCATAAGGCCAAAGGTTATCCCAAAGACCACCACTCAGACCTCCCCAGGACTGGCCACGACTGACCCGTTGATTGCTTCTCAGTGCACCTTGGCTAGGAGACCAGTCACGTTCCATTCCTATCTCACTGCGGCCCCGACAACGGGAGGCCCACAGGATCCCAGGGAACCGCTGCTTTGCTCCTCAGTAGGTTCAGACAGGAGAGTTCTGATCCCGCCACTTAGCATGCTTACTGTGCCTTACAAACGCCAATACCACCGTCCCTTCCATACAGCTGAAGGTGATGGATGCTGTGTGAGCTGGAGGTCCCTCTTCCTGACAGGACTGCGTTTCCGTGCCCAAGTGTGTTTGGAGGACTTAAAAACCCAAATGTCCCACCCCCCACCCGAAACAAAACAAAAATGGGAAGAAAAAAAAAAAGGAAAAACAAAAAGGGGGAAAAAAAACACCCTCATGGGGCCCTTTATGCAAATTATGTGCAGTGCCTTTTATTTTAAAATTAGTTGGCAAATGATCAAGACCAACATCGGAACAGTAACTTTTGTGGAATAGAAAGACAAAAATCCCCACTATGACTGGGATGTGGCAGGTTAAAATGGGGGAGGCAAAAAGAGGACACCTCTGAGCTATCCATGAAGATGGGTTTGGACATGGCTCTTTTAAAAACTTCATTGTCCCTTTGCAATCTTTTCAAGTTAAAAAAAAAAAGTCAGCTTTGCCCTCTTGTAGCGGTTCAGTGTGTTAATCTCCTTCTGATTCAAGCAGCTTTGCACTTTGTTTTTTGGAAAAAAAACACCACTTCTATAAAAACACACAAGAAACAAACTCAAGTTTCAATTTAGTCACGAGCTAGCTACAGGACTCTGTTGCACACAAACTCCTGTCATGGGGGACTCTTCTCTGTCAGCCCCTTGCCTCATTGTCAGATGTCCTTCAGTCATGTAATGTGCAGGACCTGTATTAGCAGAAAACTGGTACGTTGGATGTCCAGCTATGCCAGTCTCTTGGCGGGGATTGGAGTAGACGGTTAAATTAACGTCCATAGCTCCATTCTGTCCAAAGTCCAAGGTATTAGCAGCCACTGGGCGATTCTGGTAGGCCTGATTGCCTTGATTACCAGTAGAGGAGGAAGATGTGGAGGAAGAAGTAGTTGAGGAAGACAGGGATGTCATGGAGTGGTGACTATGGCCAACCTCCATAGAATCCTGGGTAGAGGAGCTATTTGTTGGAGAATTGTAGACCCTTGGCCTGGTCCGGTTACCCAAGGCTTGTTGTCCATGGTGGTGGTGGTGGTGGTGGTGGTGGTGGTGGTGATGGGAACTGTTTCCATGGTGATGATGCAATGCATTCTGCTGAGGGGCTACATGGAAGGTTGTTTCTTGAACGGGATGAGTTTCAACAGTGACTTGTGTGGGAGCTTCAGTGCCTGACCAACCAAGGGGAGCAGGAAATTGCTGGCGCACCTGTAAGAACAGATTTTAAAAGGATTTATTCAGAGTACCGCTGCCAAGTTTTAATCTTCAATGAAAAGCTACAACACTAGCTATTTACATTAATTAGAGGTTTCTGAAACTTCAATGTGTTAAGACAGTTCTGTAACACAAACTTCCAAATATGTTCAAGAGTGAAAAACATTTTACTATGAAATCTTCAGCAAGTTATACCCATAAACAGGCTCATATATTTTACTGGCCACCTTTTTTCTTTGGGAGCATTGCTTATGCCAGGGGTCAGCAAACTTTTCCTGGAAAGGGCTGTAGCGTAAATATTTCTGATGGGTCCCAAAGCAATTCTTTGCTGTCCCCCTAAAGCCCCTTCCCCTCCATCTTTCCTGTTTTGATAAAAGCCCTACTACTCATCCAGCTGCGTGACCATCCGTCCATTCAGACAGCCAGCGAGCACTACTGAAGCCACTCTCAAGTCAGAGCCCAGTCCAGCCTCTCTTCTCCATCTCCAAAACCTGACCCTAGATGAGGTCACTACCATCTCTTGCCCAGACTAATACAATAGCCTCCTAAATCAATCAACTCCCATCTTCCATCCTTGCCTTTTTCCAAACCGCTTGTCAAAGAATAGGAAGAATAATTCTTTTTTAAAAGCACAAATCCAAGTCAGGCAAGAAAAGGGAATAAAAGGCATCCAAATTGGAAATGAAGAAGTAAAATGGTCAGTATTTGCAGATGACATGATATTATAAAGACTCCATCAAAAACCTGTTAGAACTAATAAATGAATTCAGTAAGGTTGCAGGGTATGAAATCAGTAACAGAAATCTGCTGCATTTCTGTACACTAATAAGGAAATATCAAAAAGAGAAATAAAGAACACAATCCCATTTACAATGGCATCAAAAAGAATAAAATACCTAGAAATAAATTTAACCAAGGAAGTGAAAGACCTGTATACTGAAAACAAGACACTAATAAAAGAAATAGAAGACAAAATAAATGGAAAGATAGTCCATGCTCACAGATGGCAAGAATCAACGTTAAAATGTCCAAACCATCCAAAGCAATCTACAATCCCTATGGCAAAATTCCAGTGGTCTTTTTCAAAAAAATAGAGAACAAATAATTCTAAAATTTGTAATCCACAAAAAAGCCACTGAATAGCCAGAGCAATCTTAAGAAAGAACAACAAAGGTGGAAGCATCATGCTCTGTGATTTCAAACTATAATACAGAGCTGTAGTCACTACAACAGTATAGTATAGCATAAAAACAGACACATACATCAGTGGAACAGAACAGAGAACCCAGAAATAAATCCACGCATATATGGCCAATTAACTTATGAGAAAGGAACCAAGAATACACAATGAAGAAAGGACAGTCTCTTCAACAAGCTGTGCTGGGAAAACTAGACAGCCATACAAAGGAATGAAACTCAACCACTATCTGGTATCAAACCCCAAAATTAACTCAAAATGGATTAAAGACTCGAACCTAAGACCTGAAATCATAAAACTCTTAGAAGAAAATATAGGTGGTAAGCTCTTTGACAGAGGTCTTAGTGATGATTTTTTGAATCTGCCACCAAAGCAAAAGCAACAAAAGCAAAAATAAACAAATGTGACTACATAATACTAAAATACTACTGCACAGCAAAGGAACCAACAAAATGAAAAGGAAACCTACTGAATCAGAGAAAACATTTGTAAATCGTATCTCTGGTAAGGGGCCAGTATCCAAAATATATAAAGAGCTCATAAAACTCAACTGCAAAAACCCGAACAACCCAACTGAAAAATGAGCAGATCTGAACAGACATGTTTCAAAGAAGACATACAGGTGGCCAACAGGTCCAAGAAAAGAAGTTCAACACTATTAATTATCAGGCAAATGCAAATCAAAACCATGACAAGCTATCCTCTCATACCTGTTAGAATGGCTATTATCAAAAAGACAACAAAGAACAAATGTTGGCAAGGATGTGGAGAAAAGGGACTCCCACTGTTGGTGGGATTATCAACTGCTGCAGCCACTGTGGAAAACAGTACGGGGGTTCATCAAAAAATTAAAAACAAAACGACCATATCCAGCAACCCTACTTTTAGGTATTTATCTGAAGAAAACAAAAATACTATCTTCAAAAGATACATGTACCCCCATGTTCACTACAGCATTATTTACAATAGCCAAAACACGGAAACCACCTAAGTGTCCACCAATGAATGAATGGACAAACAGAACAATCCCAAACCCATGTGCAATCTGCACAATCTGTACAATGCTCATCTCTCCAACCTTTCCCTCCAGCCACCTGGGTTCTGACTATACAGGGTCTTCCTTCCATTCCTCCACCTGGTCAAAATCTTTCAAACGCCTCAGGGTATTTGTACTTACTGTTCCCTTCTGCCTAGAACGCTCTGATTTCTAATTTCTGCTTGGATGCTTCTTCCTCACCCTTTCAGTTCCAGAGTCTCCCCTCGTCACCATGGCTAATGCTGCCCCAGCTTCTGCAGCAGAGGCTACTAGCTGTCCTCAAAAAACATTCTTCTTCCTGAGCACATGACTGCACTCCATATACTAGCCTCCCCTGTACAAGACATGGCCATGTGACTGTTTTAGTCAAAGGAATATGAATGGAAGTCCCTATGTCATGGCCAGATCTGGCACCTAAAATACCTACCGAGTCCTTCGCCTGCTGGAGGCAGCAGACAACTAGGCCCTCGGGGATGGGCAGTCACAAGACGGAAGGGGAGAGCCACACCACTAACCTGAATACCCATTCAGGACTAATACATAAAAAAGAGTACTTTTATTCCTTTAGCTACCATATTTTGGGGGTCTACTGATCTGTTATCAGTTGGGCCTACTTGAATTAATATAGTCCACTCAACAAACAGCTATTCTCTATTACATTAGGTTTTGTTTATTTACTGTGTCACTGTAAGCGCTAGGAAGGCAAAGACGGTGTCTTTAGCACCAGTAGCTAGCACAGATCATTAAGTATTTATTCAATGAAGGTGGTCTCAGAATCAAAATTCCAGAAATACTATTGAATGTAATCCAGTACAAAAATAGAAAGGTCTCAGAAAACACTAATGGTTTTTAAATTATGAAGCTACTCACAGGGAAATATATACACGATCTTGTGGTGGCTCACAGGGAAAGAGAATGCGACAATGAATGCATGTATGTTCATGTGTAACTGAAAAACTGTGCTCTACACTGGAATTTGACACAACATTGTAAAATGACTATAACTCAATTAAAAAAAGTTAAAAAAATTAATGAAGCTACTCAAAATTCATGCATATGAAGAAATGAACAAAATATAACTATACTCTGTCCAGTACCATTTTTCACTTCAGACTTCTCCAGAGGTGACCACACTGACTGTGTCTCCGAACCGTTACTAGGAAGCTAAACTGATAAAACTACATGGAGGGCAACTTGGCAACAGCTAACAAAATGCAAACCACATTGTTCTTTGACCCAGCAATTCCATGTCCAGGAATTTTTGTCACAGACAAACTGCATGTGTGGATGATTTATATACAGGGTTATTTATTATGGCATTATTTGTGGTAGTAAAAAAAGACTGAAATAAGCTAAATGTCCATTTATAGACTACTGATATGACTTACAGAATATCTAAACAATGGAATACTGTGACTTAAAAAAACAAAAAGAATGAAAAAGCTCTCTATGTAATGATACAGAAAGATACATATATACATACATATAAATTTTTTAAATATATATGTAACATGTTAAAATAAAAAACCCAGGTGTGAAACAGTATGCATGGCATGCTACCATTTGTGTACAAAGGTTAGGTGAAGAATATATATTTGTATTTGCTTGCATATGTATAAAATATCTCAAAAAGGATACATAAAACTAGTAACATTAATTTAGAAATTGGGTGGCTAAAGGACATAGAAGGAAGACTGTTCACTGAATCCTATTTTATGTTTACTTTTAAACCATGTGAATGTATCAACTATTCAAAAATTAAATAGAAAAAGAGCTGAGGCAAATAAGGCACAACACTGACATCTATTACACATGGGGGGAGAGGGGCTACACCCAGGATGGTTTTGTGTGTTCGCAGCATTTACTGTATTTAGAAGGAGAAAGGGAAAAAGGAAGGAAGGTTGTTCTAGAGAATCAGGGAAAACCTGGCAGTGGTATTGAAGACCTGCAGAATACACAGTAGTTACCAAGGCAAGGACAGAGAACAGGAGCACTCCAGGCCGAGCGCAGACAACGGGAGAAATGTGAGAGA